CTCTCTCTCTCTCTCTCTCTCTCTCTCTTTATATATATATATATATATATGCATACATATACACCATTTTTGCTGTCTGGATTAATATTACATGGCTTGCATGCTGCAGGTATCAAGGAAAATAGACCTGGTTTATGGGGGAGGGAGCATTGGTTTGATGGGTTTGGTCTCTCAAGCTGTTTACAATGGTGGTCGCCATGTCATCGGGTAAGCTTCCTCTTTCATGAATCTGTCTGTAATACACTCACTGTGTTTGAGTCAATGAATTGAAAACATATTTTATTGGTGACTTTGATCAGTTTATCAGTTGGGTTTTGGTCTCGATCATAACTAATTTTTGCCATGTTCTTGTATTCAGAGTTATCCCCAAGACACTCATGCCTAGAGAGGTATGCCAGTTACCCCCATCATATTTCAAATTTCTTGTTCTCAACTAAAAAATGACTGCAAATGTAATGAATATCAGTGTGTGTGTGAGAGAGAGCGCATTATCCACTTTTTTTTTTCCTATTACTATTTTATGACAATAGCGTTGATAATCGAACTGAACCATTCAAATTTAAAATTAGTTGAACTTAAACTTTAAACTCGGCTCATTTAATATGTAAAATAGTAAATTATTCAAACTAATCGTTTTTTAGAAGAGGAAAGCGTAAACAATTTTTAAAATTTATTTAAAAATCGAGCTCAACTAACTTAGATCGAACTTGCAAAGCTCGATTGGGGAATCATTTTCGTGTTGTGGTGGCCACTTTTACTTGGATTTCTACCTCACCTGTGTTATCTTGGAGATGCCTTCAGACTTGTCTCTATTGGGAGATTGTAAAGGTACCATGTTGAAGGATTTTGATTGGTTCTGAAACTTATCCCATTTTTCTATTTTTCCCTTTTAATTTGTTTTTCAATTTTTTTTTCTTTTTTTAATAAGGAAAATTCTTAGAATTAAAGTTTACAAATTATTTTTGAACATATATATCAATAGACGCATTAGAATCACCAAAAAAAAAAAAAAAACCTCAACCTTAGGCTGCAGCCATGCCTTTTAGTGCATCTGGCTTGTGCTTTTCTTTGGATCTTTCGACCTCTAAAAGAAAAAAAAAAACCTTTGTGCACCAAATAATGTGGGACCCACAAACAAATGAAAACTCATTGATTGGGACCCCTAATTTCCTAAATTAAAAAAAGGCTCTCATTGATTTGGTATAAGAAATTTGGTGTGTGTAAAATGACTCATCTCTAAAGCACCATTCTGCCAGTATTATCTTGTTGACTTAAGCCTCTTTCTGTCTCTCTAATTTGTATGGGTGTGTTGACTTATGTTGGTACCGACTGTGGTGTGGTGCAGATAACTGGAGAAACAGTGGGAGAAGTAAAGGCCGTTGCAGGTATGCACCAGAGAAAGGCAGAGATGGCCAGACATTCAGATGCCTTTATTGCCTTACCTGGTTGGTTCCACCCCCATCTCCAAGATTCTTGGCCTGTATAGGATTTCAGTGTATTCGGTACATCTTAGGTTCGTGTCAATATTTGTGTTAATAAAAAATTATTTAATTTGATAACAACTAATATAATATTATTTAAAAAATTATAAAATTCTTATTTTTTATCTACAATACTCGTTACATAATTATTTTTTATTTACAGTACCCATTAACCGTGTTATTTGTGTTGAACCTTAATTTGACCCGTTTAATACTTGTGTCAACTAATCGTGTTATTTTCGGGTTCAATTAGAGTCGGGTTCATGTTAACGGAAAAAATTGACACCCCTAATTCATGCATAAACAATTTTCCAAGAAGGAATCAAGGAAATATTACAATGACATCTCGGATTTATGGATCCAGATTCTCTTTAATACTTTTTTTCCTTCTCTATTATCACTTTTAACACATCATTTATCGTTAAGGACTTGAACTCACGATTGGTGATCCACCAATGAATACAAATTTAATAATAAATATATTGAAGTGAATGTAATTCCTTTTTATGCACCCAATGCCCCTTAAAATTCTTANGATCATGGGAGAGAGAGCAGTTTGGCAGAAAGAAGTACAATAGAGAAAAGCTAGCTGAACATAACAGAGACACCGACAAGAAGAAGGAAAAAGGAAGGATTCCCCTCTAAGTCACCCGTCGTCGGAACAGACACTGTATTCAAGGAACCCATTTATAGGATACTGACTCATATTAAGGGGAATTCATACTTCAAATGGCCCAATAAAATGACAAAAGACCCGTAAAATAGAAATCCAAATTTCAGACATTCGTACCACTGGGACGTGGGATACATGACCAAAAAATGGCCGATCATTAAAGCAGCACCTAGAAGAGTTGGTTCAGGTTGGGAACCTCTCCCAGTTTGTGGAAAATAGAAGTATTGAAGGAGGAGCTGAACTCCAAGGGGACCGAATGACAGCAACCGGTGTCATCGAAGTAATCCATGCGGCGACAAATCCCCAAATGGCAACCAATAACTCGACAAGGGCCTATATCCAGAAAGCAGCCAAAGAAGGAGAGGTTTATCAATTGAGGCTGACACTCGAAATCAAAAATAAGAAGTTGAAATTAGACGAGTCAGCATGAATCATCAGCTTTTCTGAGCAAGATTTGATTGTAATTCACCAGTCGCATAATGACACTCTTATGGTCACATTTCGGATTGCGAATTTTGATGTGAGACGAGTGCTAATTGATCAAGGGAGTTGTCACTCCCCGAATTTCCACAAAACCGGGGAGTGAGTGAAAAGGAAGAAGAAAAGTAAATGAAAGGTCATTAGGTTGGATAAATTGATTTTTTNTTTGTTGAGCGTGTAACTGTTTGATGTCACTGTATTACGTGTGTGTATATATATATATATATATGAAATTTTAAAATTCAAATTTTACACAAATATCAAAAAAAATCTTGAAAGTCTCACATCCAATTAGATATGCACTATTTATGGTAAGAGTAAAAGGATTTTTATGACCTTTTTTTAGCATATGTACTTATATCCTAATTATTTTAAAAAATATACTTTTATACTATTAAGCTTTTTGGGAGGGACAAGCCTCCCTAAACCCCAATAATTTTTTGATACTATCTTTTTAAAACGCAAACCAAACGGGCCAAAACTTCTCACATTGACCTAAGAGACTTGTGCCAGACATGACCTCATGGGCCTGGACCGGCAAGGGCAGCCCACCAAAAAATAACAATATGTGTATGGGAATATTGTTATAAGAAGAAATATTAATATTATTTAGACCTAATATGCTGAATAGTTTATTGATCTAATCTATTGCAACCATTGGATCAGTAACGGGTCTCAAAAAATATAGAGAATTACTTTGAATCCAATAGTTATAAGTATTTAAATCGACAAATTAGATCACTAAGTTAAGTCCAAATCACTATTTTGAACAAGAAATGCTATTATTGTACATGAAGGTGGGGTCCAATACTTTATAGGCTTGGGTCTTCCTGTAATGCCTTTATAGCATTGGCTGCATATTCTGATTACAAAAACTTTGTGGTGTACATTAAGGTGGTTATGGGACTCTTGAAGAGCTTCTTGAAGTGATAGCTTGGGCTCAACTTGGCATCCATGATAAACCGGTAATTTCTTATTTTTAAAATTTTGAAGGGTAATAACATTCCACGATCTCAAACTATTTATGAATAACTCGGTTCATTTGTAGTTGTACGATCGTGTTCAATTGTATGATCATTTTTCAATTGAACCCGACTAAACTGTCTTATTACATAACATAATAGTCATTTTATGTGTTATAAAGGTGGGATTACTGAATGTGGACGGGTACTACAACTCATTGTTGTCATTTATAGACAAAGCAGTGGAGGAAGGTTTCGTAAGTCCGAGTGCACGCCATATCATTGTATCAGCCCCTACCGCGAGGGATTTAGTCAAGAAATTGGAGGTAACCTTGTCCGGATTTATAATATGCAATTTAATGAGCTTTAATAACTTTCACTAGTGCCTTGGCTAGTTGCGAAACCCAACAAAACTTTGTGCACTTGTGCTTAAAGACTGGGTTCAAAGTTAAGATAAAGTAGTTGATACGAGTTTACCGACTAAACCCCACTTATGTTTTCAGAAGTTCCTTGTCATTTTGGGTCACATCTTGCATCCTTTTTTCCTTGCATTTTTTTTTTTTTTGAATTTTGACCAATTTATTATTATTATTATTATTATTACTTAAATATGTCATATAATTGGATTTAGAGGCTGCAGTAGGGTTTGTAGAAGGTGCCCGAGTTGAATTGGGGATATACTTAGCTCAAGGGATAACTAAACATTATTGTTTAAACCTCACTATTTTAAAAGCATTAACCCCCACTTAATNGAAAAATGTCATACCTAAAATAGTTTTTCTCAAACCAAGAGAGTTGTGTTGCCTATATAGCCAAATCGATCACTGAAAATATAGCCCTTGTTGAGAGGAACAACTTCTTAGAAGTAAGTCTTGCAAGAATCTTGACCTACGAATGAGTTTTGGTGGCTTGAAGCTTGAAGCTTGAAGAACCCAGGATTTTTCTTCCTTTTTCCTCAAAGAACGTGTACTGCCCCTTCTTCAAACCAAAATGTAATATTTTTACACTAAGGGGGCTATATTTATAGTGGAGGGCAAAGGTGCAAAATGATTCTTTTGCCCTTAATGAATCCAGGACCCCGTTACACTACAACTCGTCCCGAAACGCCTCAATTCGACATTTTATTTTAACCAAAGTTCTTAAAATTATTTTAAATAAAAATTTTCAAAAAAATAAATTTTCGCTAGTGGCCAAGTTTGGCCNACCATGAGCAGATGAGCTTTTTAGATGCATATAGATGTTATCACCAAATCCCACTTGCTGAGTAGAATCAATAAAAGAGTTCGTTCATAACACCCAAGGGGACATACTATTACAAGGTAATGCCTGTTGGACTAAAAAAGGCAGATGCAACCTATTNCGGTCCCACCTAGGCCACTCGGGATACCTTTTTTGTCCAATTTTTAAAATTATTTTTGTTTAGGCTCAAATTCGCACAGTAGGTGTATTTTAACATTTTAAACATGTTTATCTTCGATGAGATACTCAAATTATGCTCCTAAATATGACTTATACCTAAGTGATGTATATGTAGTGTCCTATCGACAAATGGTGCATGAATAGTACCCTACCAGCAAAACTAAAAAATTTATCCTCACTTTTCAAATCTCTACAGGATTNAGTGTTAACATTTCAAGAAATTCAGTATATATTTGAAGAAGTAAATGAAAATTATACAATCTTTTTGAGAATAATGTACCATTCATCCTATTTATTTTCTAATCTCTGACAGTTGGCTTCATCTACGAAGCTTCACAAATGTCGTTATTTCTCAAATTGTTAAACCTCCATCTCACTTGCAACCTAATAAGAAACGAAAAAAAATTGAAAATGTTACGTTTTTTTGGATTAGTCATTGCCATTCATTGTGAGATTTAAGTCATTGTTATAGCCATCTCTTGTCAACCAGGTAAGGATAACACTAAGATGAAAGATGCTATAGGTGTTCTTGATGACAAAATTGCCATTTTACAAAGCACCTATTGCTTCTTGGTTATTTAATTTTTAGTTCAAATAATCTTTGAATGGAATTCGAAGGGACCAAATAGAAAATGATACTCTGAATTATAGAACTATGTGATGAAATATTCATCAATAAATGTTAAAAATAATGGTTGGCTCTTCTTATTTTTATTTCTCAAATCGAGAGATCCATGAATCATAATTCTAATCCATATAAATACAAATAGTCCAATGGGATTGGACTGGAATATGAATATCAAGAATCATGGGTCCTTTGATGGCCGATCCCTTTTTGTCAAGTTAAATATACTCAAAAAAAATTTGTTTGAGAGTAAGTTAATTTTGATCTCTATTTCAAATCATGGATTTGCATTGGACCGGCATCCCATGGGCTAGTCCAAGAACTGGAGGCCGAGTGGGCCTTCGGTCCATCACATGGCTGTTGTGTACGGCCTGCCCCCATCGACCCACAAAAATTCAACAAAAACATGAAATAGAAAGGCAGATTCTGAAATAAAGAAATGAACAGTAGTTGGTGTTAAGATAAAAAGAAACAGTGTGGGACACGGTCATTGCACCTTTATATGTCTATTTTGTCCCTAATAAAAAATAATAGAGATAATTACAAGGTCTAGAAAGTTTGTCTTATTTTGGTTTCTAATATTTTAATTGTATCATTTTTGTTTTTAAAATATTGAATATTTATATAATAAAGTAACTTACAATTCAAATTTCAAAAGATAAACAAAATGATTTTTGTTTTTCGCGATTTAAATCGCTTTAAATTTTACTTTAAAGTAAATCTAACGACTAATATTAACACCCTTAAATTTTACAAGGTCTATAAAGTTTGTCTTATTTTGGTGCCGTCGCTGCCACCCCCACCACCATCACTACAATTGTCATCGTCGCCACCACCATTGTAACCGCTGCCACTCCCGTCATTGCCACCGTCGCTGCCACTATCACCACCCCCACCATCGCCATTGCCACCACCATTGCCGCTCACCACCTCTCACTCATATTACAACCAATACTTAAATTTATTTATCTCTACTATATATTTGTGATTTGATTTTGGATATAAATACAAATATGTCTATTGTGTTACTATTTTTTTATTATTTTGTGCCTTCAAACATAGACAATAATTAATAGTTTTATATGGTCTCTCAAGCAGACAACGCCTAAATGGTTAAAAGAAATTATGATATACTTGTCGCGTAATATCTAAATATAAATAAAAAAATAATTTAGATAATTATTGATCAATTTTTGGTCAAAAACTTTCTAAATTATACAGTTTTGATCATGAACTATCCAAATTTTACTCAAGAACTACCTATATTACACATTTTTTGTCAATATTTAAGTATTACGTAACAAATTTATCATAAAAAATCGTTAACAATTTGAATGTTGTCTGTTTCAAGGATTACATAGAAACATTCAATACTTCAAGAATCAACATAATACAATTAAAATATTAAATATCAAAATGAGGCAAACTCTGTAATTTAGGAACCTTAATGTATTTAACCCTATATAATAATGGCACATAGACATAGATCTCAAGCCCATAAATGTCTCGTTTAACGCTTGAAATGAAAAGAAGGCACCGATTAAAACCATATTAAAAATGTGAAAGACTCAGTTCAGATCGGATCAGACAGGTGAAAAAGTTTAAAGGACATTATAAAATCAACANCCAATGAAACTCAACGCATCAAAATGTACATTCGGGGTTAGCTCTAGTAAGTTCTTTGGCTTTCTGGTGACTCATAGAGAAGTGGAGGTGAATCCAGATCAGGTAAAGGTGTTGGCAGAATTGTAATCACCCAAAACTGTCAAGGATATCTAGAGGCTAACTAGAATAGCAGCTATGCTTGACAGATTCATATCACGAGCTTCGGATTGGTAAATTAAAGACCTATATGGTGCCCCCACATATTCTAACAATACCTTTGCCCCAGGAACGTTTGTTGCTTTACTTAGTTGTGTCAGAGCACTCGGTTAGTGGAGCTCTAATGAGGAGTAATCATTTGGGTCTTAGCCCCGTATATTATGTTAGCAAGATGCTCCTAGATGCCGAGGAAAGATAATTATTGTTGGAGAAATTGGCATTGGATCTGGTAAGCTCGAGAAGGAAGTTGCGCCATTACTTCCAAGTGCACCAGATCGTTGTGCTAACATATCAACTAGTAAAAGTACTTTTTTGAAAGGCCAACCTGNATAATTCTAATCCATATAAATACAAATAGTCCAATGGGATTGGACTGGAATATGAATATCAAGAATCATGGGTCCTTTGATGGCCGATCCCTTTTTGTCAAGTTAAATATACTCAAAAAAAATTTGTTTGAGAGTAAGTTAATTTTGATCTCTATTTCAAATCATGGATTTGCATTGGACCGGCATCCCATGGGCTAGTCCAAGAACTGGAGGCCGAGTGGGCCTTCGGTCCATCACATGGCTGTTGTGTACGGCCTGCCCCCATCGACCCACAAAAATTCAACAAAAACATGAAATAGAAAGGCAGATTCTGAAATAAAGAAATGAACAGTAGTTGGTGTTAAGATAAAAAGAAACAGTGTGGGACACGGTCATTGCACCTTTATATGTCTATTTTGTCCCTAATAAAAAATAATAGAGATAATTACAAGGTCTAGAAAGTTTGTCTTATTTTGGTTTCTAATATTTTAATTGTATCATTTTTGTTTTTAANTATAATATTTTAATTGTATCATTTGTATCATAATAAAATAACTTACAATTCAAATTTTAAAAGATAAACAAAATAATTTTTGTTTTTCGCGATTCAGATCGCTTTAAATTTTACTTTAAAGTAAATCTAACGGCTAATATTAACACCCTTAAATTTTACAAAGTCTATAAAGTTTGTCTTATTTTGGTGCCGTCGCTGCCACCCCCACCACCATCACTACAATTGCCATCGTCGCCACCACCATTGTAACCGTTGCCACTATCACCACCACCATCATCGCCATTGCCACCACCACTGCCGCTCACCACCTCTCACCCATATTACAATTAATGCTTAAATTTATTTATCTCTACTATATATTTGTGATTTGATTTTGGATATGAATACAAATATGTCTATTGTGTTACTATTTTTTTTATTATTTTGTGCCTTCAAACATAGACAATAATTAATATTTTTATATGGTCTCTCAAGCAGACAACGCCTAAATGGTTAAAAGAAATTATGATATACTTGTCGCATAATATCTAAATATAAATAAAAAAATAATTTAGATAATTATTGATCAATTTTTGGTCAAAAACTTTCTAAATTATACAGTTTTGATCATGAACTATCCAACTTTTACTCAAGAACTACCTATATTACACATTTTTTGTCAATATTTAAGTATTACGTAACAAATTNAATTACCATGCTATGGTAGAGACGGTGCTAGGTCGTATCATAGAGTACTTCATTCAGCAGGTAGGCCGAGCCCAGAAA